TCCGAGGCTCCAACAGATCTTAAGTTGTGTGCATTTTCTGCTTAAGTCCGAGGCCCATACAGTTATTTAGTTCGTGCGCTTATCAACTTCCAGTTCGTTTGTTTAAACGAGGCAAAACTTGGATAAAGAACAATCACGAATGAAGAAAAACATTATATTAATATTTAAAAAAGGATTACAACGGAGAGCCTCTGGCCATTACACAAAGTACTGAAAAGGAAAACCTAATCTAAACCTGGGCATCAGTGGTTGCTTCCCCTGCCTCAGCATCTGGGGCTTCGGCATCAGCTGCCTCGTCACCCTGCACCTCCTCAGCTGGGGTCTGAGGAACCTCATCCACAAATTCGGACCTAAGTTGTGCCAGGTCCAAGTTTGGATAAAGCTCCTCTGCCCTCTCCAGCACTTCGGCATAGGCGAAGTTCCTCCAGTACGCGCTGAAGCTTTTATACTCCTCTGTAGTGTGGAAATTGGCGATGTATGCCCTCACCGCCTCTTCCGCTGCATTCCGGGCCTCTTCTCTGGCAACCGAGGCGTCGTTCATGTACCACTTCGCCTGGCCTTCGAGAAACTGATTTGCATCACGAGCACCGGCCAAGGCGAGATTCGCCTGCTCCAGAGCCTCGGCAGTTACCTTTTGGTGCTCATTGGAGACCTCCACCTTCTTCGTCAGAGAGGCCACCTCGCACTGAGACTCATATACTTCCCTCTTTAGGGCCTCAATTTGGGTCAGGGCGGACTCAAGCTTCGCCGCTTCTTCAGCCCTCTGTGCTTTGATTTCTTCGGCCTCGGCCTTAGCAGCTTTGACCTCCTCAACGAGTGAAGCAGTTTTCCCCTCCGAGGCGTGAGTCCTTGTTTGGAATTCACTTAATGCCTCCCTGCATTCTAGCGCGAGGCCAAAGGTCCGAGCGCTTTGGCTCACCAGTGCCCTCGTGAGGTCGGTGGCATCACAAGACGAGGCATGAAGCTGCCACCTCTCCGTCCAGAACTTGTAAAAGCTCTCGGTGGCACCTCGGATTTCCTCAGGGAGAGCCTCCACCAGAGCTGGGGCCAGCTCATCCTCCCTCCCAGCTAGGAAGTTTGGAGACTTCCCCTTCTCCCGAACTGGCTTCTCCTTCGCAGCCTCCTCTTCGGCTGCCTCAGCAGCTCGCCTGGCAGCCTCTTCCCTGGCCTCTTCAGCCTCCACCTCCCTTACCATCTCCATTTTGATGGCCTTAGAGGCTGCAACGAGAAGCTTCGGCTCTCCAGTTTGTTCTGCCCTATGGGATACTGAAGTCCCAAACTTGCCAGCTGAGCTGGAGATGTGCACCAGCTTCCTCTTCTTAGTCTCTTCAGAGACTTTCTCCTTGCCCCAAGGCTCCTTGGGCTTCTCTGGCCTCTGAGTAGATGCCTCTTCCGAGGCCCTGCGAGTGCAGTCCTTGGACAGGCGCTCAACCCTGCCTCGGACCTCCTTTGCCCCACTAGACCCGGGTTTCAGAGGCCTCACCTTCGCAGTAGAAGTGGCCTTCAAGATGGAGGCCATATCCGGAGCCGGGTATTCCCTCTTCTTGAATTTGTCTGCAACACATGTCAAATTAGCATCAGCACCAGAAACATTAAAATTAAACATCAAGTGTTGGAGCCTCATACCTCTGGACGCCATAAGCCCGAAGTCCAAGAAGTATCTGCTTCTATCAATCAGGTGATCGAAGTGCCGAAGCTTCAGAGGTCTCTTGTAAATGTCCTCTATCAACTCGAATTCCTCCCTGCTGAGCTCGAACCTCGTACTACTATCTGCAAAGATGAGCCTTCAACAGTTAGACGAGTAAATACTCTGATTTCAAAACACAAGCAGAGATGGGGAGACTCACGAGCTTCGTAGTACTGGGTAGGGGTGGGCGCGGGTCGGTTCGGTTCGGTTCTAAAGAGAATCGAACCGAACCGAACTTTTTGGGTATCTAGTAAATGGAACCGTCGGGTCCAAATATAATTATGGAACCGTTCGGGTTCGGTTCTGTTCGGTTCGGTTCGGTCCGGTTCGGGTCCGTTCGGTTCTTTACTATAATTAAATTTTTTTAACATTTATAACAACATTATATAATTACAACTAATGATATATTCAATGGTTTTGGAATGTCAGAGACTGGTAAACTACCCTATTCAAATGATCGCTACGATCAAAGCTTCGGTTGGCGAAAGTCACAGTTTCGATCGGAGGTCACAGTGTCGGCCGATGATTGTATAGGTTTTGGAATATTAGCGAGGCCGCGAGAGTCAAGACAACGTTATGTACTTTAGTGTTGGTGTTTAGGGTTATTTAGTAGATTTGATCTTGTTTTGCTAAGAAATGAAACAATAAAATAGGTAATTGGGTCAAAAATTAAAAAATTAGAAATGAAACAAATTATTTGACCAAAAATTTGAATTTAGAAATTGTTAATTTGTTTAAAAAAAATTAAAATTAAAATAATTTGATTTACTCAATATAAAAAAATTAGAAATATTCGGTTCTTATTCGGTTCTTGGTCTAGAACCGAGAACCGAACCGTACCCGTCGGTTCTCAATTCAGATACCCGTTCGGGTATTTAATTTGACAAGAACCGTCGGGTTCGGATCGGATCGGTTCGGGTTCGGTTCGGTCGGTTCGGTTCGGGAGATTTGCCCAGCCCTAGTACTGGGTCGGCACTGTGCATGACAGGGCTTTGTCACCCTCCACTGCCTGCCATTTACCTCGCACCCAGAACCAGGACTCCTTCCACCCCTTAATAGAGGAAGGAAGTCCCACCACAAAGGGTGCGTGAGCCTCCCAAGGCGTGAGGTAGTACCACCCCCTTAACTCCTTCCCAATTACCCGGGGCTGGAACAGGGTCATAAAGACATGAAGGGGCATGTCCTCCCCAAGGGAAACTTCCTTCCAAAGGAAGTAAGAGCCGACAAGCTGGCTCCACCCATTCGGCAGAACCTGGGTCAGCGACAGCATAAATTTCCTAAGCACCGCCCTAAAGAAGGGGTGCAAAGGAAGACGCATACCTGCTTTGAACAGGTATTCACTCACGGCCACGCAGCCGGGCCTCGGATAGCATGCCCGCTCGTTCGGCTCGGGGACTAACATCTCTATGTTATGAGGCACACTGTACCTCTCTCTAAGCTCCCCCAACCTCTTCCCCGTATGTTTGAGGGCACTCTAGAAGCCCCCCACTCCTGGGTATAATCCATGTCCTCCTCGGCCATGGCATACCTATCCACCTCGGACGTCCCCCCATGACCTACCCCGTGGTCTAAAGACGCTACAGTGACAAGTTCCCTACCCGAAGTGGACTCCATCGTTTGAGGACAAAGAATAACAACGGTTTTTTATGCAAACAATACCTAAAAGAGTTCAACACAAACGGAGACCGGTCGGAATCTAATCGCAGACAACCTCAACGCCGGAAAATAGGGGATTTGAGAGAGTTTGAGAATGCAAAGTGCTTAAAATTTCTGGAAAGTAGAATTTTCTCGCCTTTTATAAAGATCCAAGGCAAACCCCACCCGTCAGATCAAATCTCAGTCAATCCGAGCCCTCCGTTTCAGATCCAATCCGAGGCGTTGAATTCAAACAGTCTTTGAAATCCTACGCCTCCTATCTATGCGTACCTCACACGCACCTCTCCAGCGCGTCTGCTTCTCGAAACACCGGCTGCCCTCATAATTGCATCTTTAATTCGTTAGCGCCAGCTCATTGGAAGTCGTAACGGTTCAGCTACCTTTCATCGAAAACAAGCACAAAACATCAAATCATTGGCACAGAGACCAAAGCATAATCATTACATTGGACCTCGGCCTCCTCATATGCCATTCAACATTTAAGCCTCGTAGGTTCGGTTTCACACCACCTCGGCTTCTTCACGTGGCATTCATCATTTAATCCTCACAGGTTCGGTTTCACACCACCTCGGCTTCTTCACGTGCCATTCAGCATTTAAGCCTCGCAAGTTCGGTTTTCACACCACCTTGGCTTCTTCACGTGCCATTCAGCATTTCAGCCTCGCAGGTTCGGTTTCACACCACCTCGGCTCCTCATACGCCATTGAGCATTTAAGCCTCACAGGTTCGATTTCACACCACCTCGGCTTCTTCACGTGGCATTCATCATTTAATCCTCGCAGGTTCGGTCCCCCAACCACCTCGGTTCTTCAGCATAAACCTACACCAAAACTTCTCTAAACTCCAATCATGATATAAATATCTATACTTGGACTTGGGGGACTATTGTTGCGTGTTGTCACCCCTGTCCTACCCACCTGGGCCAGTGGCCCACTCATTCCTGCCTAGGTGGTCCATATTGCCGAGGTGGGTTATATCCGAGCTGCTTCTAACCGAGGCCCATGGCCCGAGGCTTGGAAGCCTTTGGTTGTAGCTGAGGTCCTCAAATGGACGAAGCCCCGAAGTTGATGCGCGAGCCTCAACCACAAGCATCCTCCATGGTCACTTCTCCCAAGAGATCGCCTGCACGGATCTTATTCGAATGATTGATGGAATGTCTGTCATAAGCATAAAGGTCAAGTCTTGTCACTAGCATGGAGGCCCTGCACAAGCAATAAATGCGCCGTAAGCTAGCGAGTCAAATCCCATGCCTAAGAACAGACGTTTAAGCCAAGGAGATAAGGCCACGTGCCACTTCATCCAAGGGCTCCCATTCCATATGTATAACTATAAATACCCCCGTTGTATAATGTCAAAAGGCTAAGGCAAGAATCAATACTAAAAACTACATTTTACTCAACTCTCTCCCATTTTACTAGCAATACACAAATCGAGTTTATACATTTTTGCGTATACATCTACGAGCACCGGTTGGTAATTATTGTACAATCGGATTACGAACAACCCGTCGGATCCCGAACGTTACCGTCCCGCATCGTTGGGCTACTCCCACGCCCCTTTGAACCACTCATTTAGACCGTCCACGTGTCTTAGCGTGTTGGACATTCGCCCACGCAAGCGCGGGTGGGACCGGCATCTGTTGGCACACTTTTTGGGGTCAACAAGAGCCATAGAGATCATGGAAATTAAAATAAAGAAAATAAATAATTATTGGTGTTTAGTAGAAGAAAAAGGTAGTTATATATTTCTAAAACCTATTTATAATAAATTAAAAATAATGACTTTAATAATAATTAAAGAACTTCCTAAGGAAATAAAAGAACAAATATTAGAAAAATTAATAATAGAAACAATAAAGGATATATATACATATGAGAAAATTATTAATATATATGAAGATGAAGAAAATAATTTATATTATAAAGAAAAATATGAGTACAATTGATAATGCACATAAAAAATTGAATAAATTACTTTTAAAAATGGATAAAATACAAGAAGAAATAAGAAATATAATGTTAATACCAGAAGGAATAAGAATATCAAAAAATAGACAATTAACAAAATTAAAATGTGAAAGACTAAGACTTGAGAGCAAATATTTTACTATAGTAAAGGAATAATTAGTAGATCCAAAAACAGTTGAAAGAAGATTTAGGAAAATAATAGATAAAAAGGAAGATAAAATATGCAAATTAACTTATGAGTTAGAAATAAGAAAAAGTTAAGATGTCAATAAGTGAATACATGGAAGAATTAAAATCATTAATAAAAATATTAATAAATGATATACAAGATTTAAGAAATGAAGTAAAAGAAACAAGAAACGATATAAATATATTAAAAATTGAAATTAGAGAATTAAAAGAAAATAATAAGAATAAAGATAAGAAAATAGATAAAAAAAACTTATAGAAAAAGAAATGATTCGGATAGGAAAGAAACATATAGAAAAAGAAAATATAGTGATATAAACAGGAAGCATGGATGATGAATTTAGAAAGAATATATTACCAAAAATACTAGAAGAAGAAGAAGAATCTAGAGAAAAATCATCAGGGAAATTAAAAATAGAAGAAAAAGAAGATAAAAATAAATGAAGAGTTAAATTTATTAATAGAAATTTTTGATCAATTAAGCTTAACAGATATAAGTGAATACCAAATTTTAATGAATACTGGAGGAGGACCTAATCCACCAGGAACTTCTAAACAAGAATTACATGATACAGATAAAAATTATGCACCCATATATAATAAATCATATAGATAATTTTATGATAAAGTAAGAGATAGACAACCACCTAAAGGAAATAAATATAAAGATAGGTTTGAATTAAATAATAATTATAATAAACC